TTTGACTAGACAATTTTTGATATCTAATTTCAGGTATTACTAGCCAACCCAAAAACTTGATGGCAACACTAGATAAGGCCGTCTTAAAAGTGGTTGAGAAATCAGAGCTAGAAATAGAAATCTTTTACACAGGCAGATGCAATTAAGCAGGTATACTGGCTTATTGCAAAAGGTTTGGAAATAATGCACAGGTTCTTTGAGCCATGCTCCTGTGTATGGCTGTCCCTGTGCAGCACTGGCCTAGGTTATGGAGGAGAAAATCAGTGATGCCCAATGAACAAGAAGAAAAGCCAAAGGGGAGAGAGAGAAAGAGAGAGAGAAAGAGAGAGAGAGAGAGAGAGAGAGAGAGAGAGAGAGACAGAGACACAGAGACACAGAGAGAGACAGAGAGTTTGTATGTATGTGAGAAGCCCATTGTCCACTGGGTGAAGTGCCAGCCAGTCCCTAATTAAATGTGTCCAGTAGCATCCCATTTTTAATGAGAATTCCAACTCTTCCAACATCTGAAGACCCCACAAAGTCAGCCTCCCTGCAGTCTCTCCTCCTGCCGTGCCCCTTCTGCATGCTTCCACTCTTTCCCTACTCTTACTTTGCGTTTCTCCCACACCCCAAACACACTCATGCCTCAGGACCATCCCAATTATATCCCCTCTGCCTGGAATGCTCTTCCTTCTGCCCTTCACCGGACTGGCTCTGTTCTATCACAGGGACAGGTATTATCTCTTCAGAGCTCTATTTTCCTCTGTCCCCTCTTTAACACATTTCCACAATGCACTGCCTTTGCAAAACTCATTCTATCAGAAATGTTCTTTTCATTTAGTTCTATTTCATTAATCAACTCTGATTCCTATCAAAACATAAGTTAGAAGAGCAGGATCTTCATTTATCTGGTGCTGGGAACATGTCCTATTATATGGTGGCTATCCAGTAAATATTTATTGGCCGTAAATTTATCCCACATTATGGGTGACAATGTAGAAAGTCACCCAGATCCACCATGAAACCAATCTCTGCGGCACTCTTACCCCATGTCCCACCAGTCTCCCACAGCCATACCAACTTCAGGCCTGCTTCTTCAACCTGTGGAAACTGAGAGGAACCCTACAACTTTTGCACAATCTCCGGCTTTTCTGAATCTTATTTAGAGGCCTAGTCTCGTTATCTATCGCCCAAAAAAGCATGGCTGAGGGAGTGAGGCTATAGGGGTTTCTAATGAGACTAAGGACAAGTGGGACCTGCTTTATTCCCTATGTATTTCTTTTCTTGGAGAGCTTCTGGTCATACAAATAAGGAGTAGTTAGCTTATCTTGACCACCACAGTCTTCTGGTCTGACAGCTGGAGCTTTCCTGTTCGTGGACTGTTGAGAAAGAAGGCAAAGAAACAACCAGCCTTTAGGAACATATTTATCATAAATACTGAAAAGTTGAGTAAGAGGGATGTTGTTTTTCTTTTTAATTAAGATTACTGGTACATTTTTCTTGACGTACCTGGCAAATGAATGCATGGTGCTGAGTTCAATCCCTGGTACTCCCCCCCCACACACAGATTATTGGTACATTTTAGGTATAAAGATCACCATTCTTAACCTGACCATAGGGAAGGCAAGTTCCTGACCAAGTATGCGATATCACTGCTGGTTTTCGGCATCAGCATCAGGGAAAGAGCTCCTGCCACCCTCCATGGTGAGGGAACCATGTCTTTGACAACCTATTATGGAACCATAAATACAGTATGCTACTGAAACACCATAATACCCAAGGTTTACATTCTATTGTCCCTGTAAAGCCCACTCTAAATCAAACATATATTTCATACACACACACACACACACACACACACAAAGTTGATCTCAACTGTGAGACGGGAATATGGACCTAAGAAAACTTCTGCCAGGCAACACATGGCTGGCCCTTACAGGGTGAGTACGGATGTCAGTAAAAATACATTCAGGAAGAAAAGAATTTTGAAATGCAAACCACGGGAGATAGCATAATCTCCTGGGCTGGCCAAACACAGCACATCTAAACGGCACATCAAGGATCTACAAAAGAGACATTAATTAGTGACAGTCTGAAGCTACACAAGGAAAGGAAAGCAGCAGATACACATAATCTGTTTAAGAAGCTCAGCTTGCGAGGTAATTAGGAAGGTATATTCAAATCAAAGCATTTACAAATTGAGTGTGTGTGTGTGTGTGTGTGTGTTTGTATGGCAAAAAAAGAAATGCAGGCACAGAAAACAGAAATTGCTTTGAAGAATATATGTTATGGAAGCTTCGTGTGACAGTACAAGGCAAGGTAGAGACAGACCTTTATGTGATGCACTGTAAGTGGCTTAATTTAGGGCATGGTTTTTTAGCTATGAAATGGGGCAAAAAGTTCTCTGAGACAGAGAGTTGTTGAAAGGTGAAGGAAGGAAATGGCAAATGAGAACACAGGTGAGGATCGCAGCGGCTACCACATACATATTCCAAACTTCTTTAGCCTCAGTAAAAATCTATCAATGCATGTTGAACAGATGTCTGGTCCTCAACCCTCGCTGAAATCCTAGTTCCCACTGATGCCACTTGGCACTCTGCAGAGTTATCAGGGAGCGTAGGAAGCGCAGCATTACTCATTTCTGTTCCATGATGCAGAACAACAGCAGAAAAGAGCTGTGAAATTGAGACCTCTATCACAAGTTCTAGAATCAGAGATTAGAGAATTACAATTTCACAAGAGAGATTTTTACTTATTTACAGTATTTACATTTCTACAGTACTGGATATGGAAACAGGGCCTTGCACATGCTAGGCAAAGGCTCTACCACTGTGCTATAACACAGTCCTTATATTTACTTATTTTTACTTTGACTCACAATCTTGATAAATTGCCTAGCTTGACCTCAAACTTGTGATTCTCCTGCCCCAGGCTCCTAGCATTCTTTCCAAGTACCTGAGGTTACACATATGGACCAGTGCCTTGGGATAGATTGATGTAGTTTCATGGTATCTCTTAATGTTTTTTTTTTTTTTTTTTTTTTTGTCAATACTGTCTATTCTTTTGAACCTCAAAGTTTTCTTCTTACTGATTTGGAATGGAAGAACAAATTAAATATTTCCAATGAATGTACTGAAATGTCAAAACCCGCATTCCTATTTAACTGCAATACTAAATTAAGACCTCCCACAGTCTCAGATTGTGTAAAACTTTTCAAGGAAATCCGTATCAGACAACAAATGATCACCCTCTCCGTTCTACTTGATAAGGCTTAAGTCAGGGTAAAACACTTTTTAGAGTGTTTTAAAACCCAAGTGCCCATTATGTAAGGTGCCTTAAAGGCAGTCAGCCTTACTAAAGACAAAGTAACATTCTAAGGGTTCCTTTTCACCAGATCTTGATTTGAAGAGCGCTCCTTAATCAGAGGAAATGGAAGTAACACAAGCCAATTTACAAATGTTAATTCAGCAGTCTTTCTGAGCTAAGAAACAACCTGGCGCCTTGATGAGACCTTTCCAAATATTATTTAACATTTCCATGTAAATTTAAAAAAAAAAATTGTTGCATCATCTGCAACAGACAGAGAAAATCTGGAGAGAGAAAAGTAAACTATTCCAGGTAAGGTAAATAAAGGCAGCCATAGGAGATCTACTCGAGAATTGAGAGGCCTGGGCATGGGGCACAGCAACCAAAGAGGAGAAAGAGCTTCCAGGTGATCTGAAGTTACCATGTACCTTACTAGCAATACTGAGGTGATCCTCTTAAAGCAAACATGATGTGTTAATTGAGAATCTATGTGGCTTCTGATAGGTTAGCAATTGCTATGGCTTCCCCAGCCCCATGCCTTCACAATTTTTAAATCTTGCCTGTGAACAGCAACACCCCCTCTCTGGCTTGTTCCCCTCCTGATCCCCTGTTCTTTCCGTTTCCACTGAAGATCCTTTTAAGAAAGAAAAGTATTTTGAGTTCTTTTTAGGTTTGTTGAAATCGCTTTTTATAGATTTTCCTTTATGCCAAAATAAGAGCACACAGGAAAAGAGCTGAAGTTGCAACCCAATTCAGGAACTAGCAACCCAAAGACCGCAAAATAACAAGTTTCTTCTCGACCTTATCTTGAAAGTTAACAGCGGTCCAAATATAGCAGTTTTCTTACGCCCACCCTTCGACTCCAACACCCCCGGTGCCTGCTTTGCCAGGTTTCATTCTATTGTGGCAGGAAGTGGATTTCTCGAAAAACTTTAACGGGAAAGGCCGAGAATCTTCCAGAGCCCCTCGCCTCTCCAGATGCACAAACCCTTTATACAAGCAAACAATAGCGCACCAGGTCCACCACCACCACCGCTCCAGCTCCTCCGGGCCTCAGAGCGCACTGCCCAGAGAGGGCCGCCAGGGGCTGCCCGCCCCTCCACTCCTCTTGGCGTCGCCCCTGAACACCCGACTGGTTTGGGGATCCCCGCGCCCCGCACCCTCAAGACCCGGGCGTCTGCAGCGACCCCGGGGCTGGCGGGGCATGTGGATCCGTGCGCCCTCCATCCACTCCCGACTCAGGGGCGCGAGAGCCTGAAGGTGTGATCAGCACTGAGTCCGGAGCCCGGTCTCCCCGCATCCCGACCTCCCTCTCCGCAGCCACGCAACCCCTCGGCGAAGCCGCGAGATAAAGTTACCGCCGAGGCCCAGGCGACGACTGCGGAGGCTGCGGGCTTCGCGGCTCCCGGCTGCTCTGCCCTTCCGCGGCGCGGGCGGAGCGGGTCCCCAGCCCGCGCCAGGCAGGCGGAAGCCGGAGGAGGCGGCGCGGGCGCGAGTCCTCCCGGGGACCTGGCGGGGCGGGAGCGCGGTTTCCTCCGCACCGCCAGGCAGTGAACCGCGGGCCCCACGCCGCGCACCGCGCCGGCTCCCGAATCCGCGGCGACTGCGCGCAGAGCCTGGCCGGCTGCAGGAAGCTCCGAGCGCCCCCAAAGGTGCATTGCGGGGAGGCTGCGGGGCCCTGCCAGGCGGCCAGGAGCTCCGCGGACGGCCCCTACCTTTCTCGCGGGGCGGACACCGGACCCACGTCCTGGCTGCGGGTCCCGGACGGGAAAATCACCGCGAAGGAAGGGCCGAGGAAGGACGGCGGGTGGCTTCAGGACGAGGTAGGAGGATTGAGCTCCACGGCCAAGAAGACACTCCCATCGCGCCCGGTTTGTTTGGAAAACTGCAGCAGCCGAAATGAGGGACGGCCGGTGCTCCACTTCCCGCTCGGCGGCGGCCCCGGCTCTGCCAAGCGCGGCGCCTTGCGGCTCAGTCCCAGCCCGAGGGGAGGGGCGTCCGGAGCGCCACCTCCCCAGCCTCGGTCCTCAAGGACAGGCACGCCGGTGGATTTTGCTTGGAAGCCGCTCTTACTTTAAGAGGAAGAAAGAAGCTGAAACGTTCTCTCTCTCGCTCCCTCCCTCCCTCCCTCCCACCTTCCTTCTTTTCTTCCTTTCTGTTTTCTTGCAGCTATTTTTAGGGAAAAGTCTCCTATATTAATAATGCTCTCATACTTGGATGGCTGTGAATGCTTTTTAAAGTTTTTCAGATAACTCATTGTCTAGCAAACATTCAATTCATAGCTCCAAGCCGTTGGGCACTGAGCACATAATCATGTGCCATCAAATGACTACACCAGAGGAGGCCTTCTGCCTGGACGTGGGACAAATTCAAAGCTGACAAGGTGACATACACTGGAACAAAGTACCTCATTTTCGATCAACCTCCGGCGTTTAATCTCAATTGTAACAATAGCCCTAGGAACCAGGACTTATTATAATCCTGGCTGTACTAATCAAAACACCAAAAGAGCTCAAATTATTCATATTCTTTGCCTTTTCTACAAATTGCCTTTGATGTGACCCATACAGATTTTGTAATTTTAGATACAACTCTTGGGATGTCAGGTCACTCACTAAGGGTTAGGGAATTTGACCATCTGGCTCATTTTTCTTGAGATTTGCTTGCTCTTTTAGTTTCCACACTGAGTTCCTTGTTGTCTTTACTTTGTGTATGATCTTCAAAAGTAAATGTTTTTCCTGTTATTGGAGGATGGGGCCGGGCAGATGGCCCAGTAGAATAAGTGCTTGCCTGGCAAGCACAAGGTCCTGAGTTCAATCTATGGACCGGGGAAAAAAAAAAAAAAAAAAAAAGACTCTTTGGGGACCTGCTCATCAGCTCAGTTGTTTAAGTGATTGCTTAAACAAAACAATCAGGATGCTGTGGTTCCATCCCCAGATCCTCAAGCCTTACCAGACCTGCCCTGAAGGCATCCTGAGCTAGCCAAAGGAAAAAAAAAAAGGAAAAAAAAATTTCTATCATTGGAGTTTGATAGTGCTTCCTGCATTTAGTGCAGAAAGGCAGGGACAAGCTTTCACCTAAGCTAGTGGGGGTACTACCTCTCCTGTGTGGCCTTCGGCAGAGGCCTCACTTTCCAGATGCTTTCTTTTTGTCCAGTGTGAGGTAAGACAGTATATTTTAGGGGTTATTAGGGGAATTAAAACAGTAGTAGGTTACTTGGCACACTTCCTCTCACAAAAATACATCAACTCAGGAAGTAAAATATAGATTTATAATAACACAAAGAATGTGAAGTAGTAGTCATTGCCCAGAATGATTCAGCTGCCCTCCAACCCACTGTGCAGACCTGAATAATCTGATAGAAATGAAAAAATTTAAAGTTGTGATTCAAATTCAAGTACCAGAAACCAAAATCAATTTTCTTTTCAAGGTATCACCATTATGCAACTTTCTGTGGCAGGGGCTTTTGGTCTGTGTAACCTTATTTAAAAAAAAAAAACAAAAACTGAAGGCATGTTATTGTGTGGATACAAGATTGCTACTAGCAAGAGGTTTTAAATTTCAGGGGAAGCTGACAGACAATTAAGCAAGGTGATAGAATTATAGGTTGTTGGCCCTCTGTGTTGTATTCATGTTTTGGGGAATTGTTTTCATAATGTAAATATATAATTGTATATAATAACATTTTTATTTGTGTATAAATATATAACATATATCTCAGTCCTTGTAGATTTTTTCCAATAATGTAGGAAGGGTGAGTCATAGAGGCAGAAGGGACACTTTGTCAAAGTCCTCTGAGGTCATAGTATCGAGGCTGTGTACATATAGTGCTGCCCTGATGGTTAGTCTCGTTTTTGAAAACAGTTTGAAGTAAAATGAAATTGTTTTATTGGATGCGGTCTCTGTATACAGGAAAAGGCCAGTTTCCTACACTATCATGTGATCGTGTTCAGTATTTGTGGGCTCCCAATCTCAGGAAGAATGTATTTCTGCCTCATCCTGCATGTAGGACCTGCTTTACAAACACACGTTTGGTCCAAGTGTAGCCTTTCCTGACAGGCTGATGCTAACAATGTCCACTGTTTGGAGGAGAGACCTGCTCCTAAGCTTGTCCCCTCAGGGGGAATTCCTAGCAGACTAGCTGGTGAGCCCCAGGACAGGAGAAAACTATTGCACAAAGTGACAGGAATCCACTGTACTTTCTTATACCCTACCCTTATGAGTAAATAATTCTTTAAATTTTAGTTATGGGGGGACAACCGGCTCAGGGGACCCTCTCCTGTCCCTCTCTCGGACAGGAGCTCTCTTTCCCTCAATAAATATATTCAGCTCATAAAAAACAGTTATGTTTCTAATATTCCTCAAGGCTTGAAGTTGATTGGTTTTTATTATACTTATTAATGCATATCAACTACACAAATTAATGGATTTTCATTTCCATAGATACATTATCATGCTTTGATCCTTTTCACCTTTGCTTCTGCCTTCTTTTGTCTTTTTTTTCTTTCTTCCCTCCCTTTCTTCCTTCATCCTTCCTAGGTCCTCTTCTATTTTCAGGTCATCTTTTTTTTTTTTTTTAACTGAACTTCTGAACTTGATCGACCTGATTCTGTTTACAACCCTTCTCTGAATTAAGGTGAAGATTCTGCCAGCCCAGTCTTCTAGAAGTCTTGGGTTTTTAGTCTCCTGTAAGCAATTATTTAATGAACATGTTCACCTCAAAAAGAATAAATTACGGTGCTAACAACTTGAAATCTTAAGTTTAGGGCTATGACTCTGCCTAACTAAAAACACTTAATGAAAATCAGTTATCTCTTTCAAGGAGTGCCATACTTCTCCAGTATCTCCACCTCAGAGCAAAGTCTCAGCTATATTTTGTGTATGCAAATACCCAGTGAGAGCTTTTCCCAGCATAGCCACTTCACAAAAAAAGAAATTCAAGTCTACGAAGAAGTTTATTTTTCACTTCACAAATGATGGTGTCCTTGTATCCCAGCAGTCCTATCAGGAGTTCAGAGATGAGTCTTGGGGTCCAAACTGACTCTACTGTCACAGGCTGGAGGGTAGTCTAGGATTGAGATAGATAAGCATGGGGAACATTTATATGGTGAAACACTTACCAGCAGTTCAGCAATGCTGGCAACTTTATTTTTAAGATAGTTAATATCCAGAATATATAAAAAATTCCTGTAGATCTATTAAAAAGTAACTCATTTTAAAATAAGGCCATGTTATGGTTTAGGTCAGGAGTGATCCCCCATACTGTCATGCACTCAAAGGCAGGCAGGTCTTTTGGAAGGTGACTGAATCATGAGGAACTACAGCTGCCTTGATGTTAGGTTAGGGGTGTGATCAGAAGATGTGGCTCAAGGGGGGCAAGCATGGGAGAGTGTCTTTCCTTGGGCTCCCTTCTCTTCCCTGCTTCCTGGCTACCATGACCTGAGCAGCCTTCATTCACCCAGGCTGGTCCACCATGCAACCAACTAAGCAAGGACTGAAACTTCTAGAATGTGAGCCAAAATAAACCTCTCCTCCTTGGAGTTGTAGGTGTTGGGTATTTCATCCTAGCTAGTAGGACAAAAGTTCCTAAGACAGGCCATACAAACAATTTATAAAACTAATATAAATAGTTCATAAGCATATGCAAAAATCCCAGTGTCCTTTCATAATAAGTCTAGTGAGACTGGCAAACATAAAAAGATTAATGAGATCTGGTTCTGTTGAAAGGTGTCAGAAAACTATTCATGAACATGTAAAGTGGTACTTCATTTTTAGAGGCCAATTTGGTGATTGCTATCAAATTTACAAGGTTTTTTGGGTTTTGAATTTCAAACCCATAATTAAAATTCTTTAACTTTCCTCCTTAAAGGAAGGACTCTGGCCTCAAGCCAACAAGCAACCTAAGGGAGAGGAGGAGGAGGAGGAGGAGGAGGCACAGGATCTTTTACCTGGCTCCTGGTAACCTTGATCAACACAGGAAGAAGCCCTAGTTGCTGAGCAGCTCTCTGTATGGACTGAGACAAGTTGGACATTCTAGAGTCCTGTGGGCCAGTCTCCAAAATGGCTACATCATGGAGCAGCTTTCCCAAAGCTTTTATTTACGGATAGCTAAGGTGACAGGTCTTGACTGTTGTTTCTGTTTATGGCCTGTTCCTGCCCTCCAGGAGAGGAGGGAGGTATCTGCCCTTCCCATCTGTCTGTGGAGTTATTCTCATTCATATTCCAGTCCCACGACTGACCATCTGTCAGACAAAATACAGGTACCTTTCTTATGCTGGATATTTCCGTATTCTACTAATTATGCTGAATATTTTAGCCTGCGCCTTTCTCTCATATGGTTGATAGAGCTGGATTTACCCTGTTTTACTCGTGAGTATTTATAAAAACATTTCTGAATGTTTGATTTTTTCATAAAAAGCACCTATTACTTTTGTAACTGAAAAGAAGATAGGTTTTCCAAAGCACTTTGCCCTTTAGGGAACCTGTCATGTTAGTGGTTAGTGACATACCATATTGAACCTTTCTTATTGAGAAAGGGTAGTGGTTGTTTTTCTGGGAAGTAGGAATGTCTACATTATTATCATCAGAACTTTGACAGGGACAGTGCTTTAGGTAGCTCATCTGCCAAATTTGCAGGAATTCCTACATTACTACAGGATGCTTCCGAAGGCTGCTTGTCAACCTGAGCCCCACTAATTGAATACAAAGTTGGAGCTGGAGATTCCACCAGAACCACTGCCTGTGCATGCCCAGGCCTCTCCAGCTTTCTGCCATTGCTGATGATAGCAAAGGATAAGGGTGACACTGGAACAGCGCAAATGTGAACTCCTGTTTCTGTCCCTGCCAGAGGCTCCTCCTGTTATGCTATGAAGATTGTGTTCTTTATTACATGCAGCAGCCCTGGGGGCTAACTTCCACTATCCCCATTTTCCATATTGAGGAATTAAGGTGCAGAGAAGTTACATAGTTTCTCTAAAGGTCTGGAGCTAACTTGTATCAAAACTAGAATTTGAGTCCAG